TTACACTATCACTAGAACTAACACAAGACCTAGAACTAGAATCATTCGGGTTTAGCCGTCTTAAGAGACGTGCGGCTAAATCCGATTGTTTCTAGTTCTCGGTCTAGTGTTAGTTCTAGTCTTACACTAGCACTATAACTAGAACTGTAACACAAGACCTAGAACTAGAAACATTCGAGTTTAGTCGTCTTAAGAGACGTGCTGCTAAATCCGAATGTTTCTAGTTCTAGGTCTAGTGTTAGTTCTAGTTTTACACTATCACTAGAACTAACACAAGACCTAGAACTAGAATCATTCGGGTTTAGCCGTCTTAAGAGACATACGGCTAAATCCGAATCTTTCTAGTTCTAGGTCTAGTGTACAAAAAATAGAATAGAGCAAGTGGAGGAATAACATTTAATAATTAATAATATTTAAATATTTTGTCCGTTATATCGAGGTTTTACTGTAGTTTAATAACCGTATCAAATGAACCGTAATAAGTGATCCTTCTTGGAAATCATCGAGAAGATCTCGAGAACCAAACGGTGACGGCAAAAAATTTTTGAAACAGACTTTATCTATTAATCAGATCTTATTCGAACGATGACTCGGTGAAATTTGTCTTAAAGAGATTTTTTTTAAGATCAAACGTTTCATAATAACAAAGATTGTTAAAAATAAAACGTTTGAGTAATAATTATCATTACGATTAAATGAGGAAAGTGGATTAGAACGTGAAAAGAAAATTGAGAATTGGGTGAGATATTGAGATTTTGTAAACCGGACTTAATTACAAAAGCAATTAGTTGGGGAATTTAGGTTTTAAGTAACTGGAGCTGTGCTCTGTTAACACCACGCGATATTTCGCTTTGTATAAATAATGGATTTGTTAGAATTAATTTTGTGATAAAATGTTTTATATTATTATTATGTTTTATATTACCAGCAAAACAAACAATGTGGCACAATGTGTCTTAATTTAAAATTCAAAATGACTCACCCCCAACGATAATCATACATAAACATCATAAACAGTTGGTTCTTCTCCATTTTACCATTATTTTCCTTATTTAGTATTCATCAGAACGCGTGCATTTTTGGTTTTTTTGAACCGTATGTTATAGGGTAGGGTGTACTTTGTATGCAAATCGAGTCGAAAAGAACGCGTGCCATACCGATGAAGAGCAAAAACATTCCTTTTTCACCATATGGACTCATCTCATTATAATAATAAAGTAGGGGGAATATAAATATAACAAAAAAAATTCAAAATACACTCTTAAACCGATTTTAAAGAAAAAAGATCATCAAGATTGACCGATAATTTACAATTTTACAACGTGTCAAATGACGAAACAACTCAGAAGCGTGGGTTTTGCCATTCACCGCAAAGAAAACGGCAGCCGTTTCTTGTCACATATTATTTTCTTCTTGTCACGAAGGAAATAACATTATATTAATCTTACGATTTTAAAATGATATTAAATGTGCGCTTTTCATTTTTACTTTTATTAATAATAATGGGGAAGCTTATTAATGTGTGAGAGTATGTTAAATCTAGAATTGCGAATAATAATAATAAATCTTAAGAACGGAAAACTCGGGGATTGAATATTTGAATACATTAAAATAAATTTGAATCGCATTTTCAAACCGAAAAGATACGCCGTGTACCTTTTCGTTTAAAAACTTAAAACGAACAAGACGAAAATGAATAAGAATAAATTTAATTTATGGTCGCGTGTAACTCAACACGTTCGAATTAGACCCACAAAAAAATTGGGTTGTTAACGTTGTAATTAACGGTTCGACGATGACACGAATGAAATGGGAAATATTTAGGGGTTGATATTAATGCTCATATTAAGACTACCATCTGGTTTGGTCTCTATTTTTCTTTTTTTGTTGAGGGTGGTTACGAAATAATAAATACTTCCCTCTTTATTATACATAAATAGAAAAATTTCACCCATACAAAAAATTAAATTTGTATAAACCACTTTATAGAAAATGAAAAATCTTTTAAAATGAGCCCAAATATGACTACTTTATCTTTAAAATCATCAAAGTGATCTAAAATTGACAATCCGCCATTTTGAATTTAATGTCATTTCGTTTTAACAGTTTTTAAGATCAACGTAGATATACAAAATGAAGAATCCTTTAAAATAATTCCAAGCACGACTACTTTACCTTAAAAATCATCAAAGTGATCTAAAATGCACTCAAAAATCCATGCCATTTTGAATTTTAAAAATAAATATACAGGATGATTCAAAAAACCGCTGACAGACTTCTAGGGCAGGTAATACATCAAATATTAAGATGAAAAGTCTTAATATACATGGGCTTGCAAAGGTGTTATAGGAAAATGTAAGTTTTGTTTCAACATTTTTTTTCTCAATATTTTTCCATTCCAACCCAACAATTATTATACATCATTTTAAAGAGAAAGCTTTGAGCTTTAATTTAGAATAAGTCTCTTTCCTTAATTTCAATCAATACGGCTTCCAGGAATTTTTAAATTAGCATTTTTTTTTGACACTTTTAGGTTATATGAAAATGTAAGCTTTATTTCAACATTTTTTTTTAAATATTTTTCCAATCCAACCCAACAATTATACATCATTTTAAAGAGAAAGCTTTGAGCTTTAATTTAGAATAAGTCACATTCCTTAATTTCAATAAATACGGCTTCCAGGAATTTTTAAATTAGTATCTTTTTTGACACTTTTAGGTTATACGAACATGTTAGTTTTAACTCAATACTCTTTTTCTCAATATTTTCTAATTCAACCCGACAATTATTATACATCGATTTAAACAGAAAGCTTTAAGCTTCAATTTAAAATAAGTTTAAGCATTTCTTAATTTCAATAAACAAGGCTTCCAGGAATTTTTGAATTAGCATCTTTTTTGACACTCATTAGATTATGCGAAAATAAAGGGATTACATATTTTGCTAAAATTGATTCCAAAGGCCTTTACTGAGTGTATTTTGATAGCGTTTTAATTCTGCCTGATTCTGTCACAAAGTTTCAAAATTTTTGACTTCTTGGGACACAAAGGGTTAAAGAATCCATGTATATTAAGACTATTCATCTTAATTTTTCATGTATTATCTACTTTAGAAGTCTGTCAACGGTTTTTTGAATCATCCTGTATATACATCCACTTTTTTGTCATTTTGGCAGTTTTTAAGATAAAGTAATCGTGTTTGGACTTATTTTAAAGGATTTTTAACCGACATAAAGAATTAAGAGACCGAAAATGACATCGGTATGGAGTTTTATCAATTAGAAAACATTTTAACGATAGAATTACGAATTCTTAATGAATAATTTGTTGTTTAATGAATCGTTTCTAGCAATAACCTTCCACGATCTGGGAGAATACGTTTCAGTTATGATAGAGTGAACGTGGACAGTTTTCTCATTAAGTGCGATATGGCTCATTTCCACTTAAATGGAGTTATAAATACAGAAAATAGTAGAATCAGTCCTGTCTGGTGTTTTAGTTTTAATTTTTTGGTGTTTAGTGACGTCAAACGACTAACCGCGCCGTTTTTCTACGAAAAATGATGCTGTTAATTGACGTAAATAAATAACGATGAACGCTCTGAAACACGGCATTCTAAAGCCAGGAACAACAGATGATAGAGGGTACTGTCAAACTACCCTCTATCATCTACCTCAGCCCATCTTCTCTCTCTCTTACACTTTCTCCCCAACATTCCACTATCTCTCTTTTATCTTTTGTTTACTTTATGTCCATCAGCTCCATATTCTATTCAATTCCTTGTTCCATGCCCACACTTTTGAAATCCTCTCCATCCTTCATTGCCATGATGTCGACCTTGCTATATGATATTCCATCACTGAACTCAAGTGTATGATCGCTATTATCAGGGTTTAGTACTTGCCATCGTCATTTCTTATTGATGAATGCATATCTTGAAATCTCAACACAAACAAATACACAACAAAGTTTTTCTCATTTTCTTTCCCCTTAAATATTCTACCATAACACAATCATCCATTAACCTTATTAATTTTCTTGGTAATTTTGTTGGTAAGATAGAATCTGTCTAAAATAATTGTAGACTTCATTTTAGAGGAAAAGAAAGATCTTAAATGATTAAAGAATTTAAATAATGTTTATAAAGATCACTTAATAATAGAAAATTAAGTGATTTAAAAATCGATTAATATTCAAATCAAATTTGTAGCGTTTTGATTTCGAGGTGAAACCCGCCTCGAAGAACACTCATTATACAATCATTGTAGTTTCGCTACACTTTCTAAAAAAAATCCGGGCTCATTGTAGCGAAGAATACTTCCTTTAACTTTAGAATATCTCCGAACGCAACTCGAGCTTAATGCATATCAGGGTGAAATGGCTTAGTTTTACAAAGATGATGATCGTTTTAATAAGAAGAATTAAATCGAAAGTTTCATTTCGAGATTTTCTCCTCAGTGAAATTTGAAACGTGATCGACTCATTTAATTCTTTATTAATTAATAAAGAAGGGAACGAAGAAAGATTGCAAAAACGAGTGATTTTATAATTACTCGTTAATCTATAATTAAAGTGCTCATCTTTACATCTAAAATTTATAACTAAAGTTAAAAGATTTTACTTTCACTGTTATTGACTTCCTGATTCGGTGAATTAATGACCGAATCAATTTATAATTATTATTGCCGGTATAGATTTAATCAGAAACGAAAAAGAAGTTTTAAAAAGGAAAAGGTGATGAGCAGCTGCTCCTCATCCAATTCATTTCAATTGAAAGGCAATTCTGTGGTCACCTGCATTTTATAAAAGCTAAAAAAGAAAGAAATTTTAAGAACCGCTGCCTTGTGGTCAGGTCGAAAGCAAACTGCCTGGTTGCTCTCTACACATTTAGGCCAACCAAGTAAACTGGTTGCGTAACGTTCAATATTGATGTAAAAGGAAATATAAATATTTCATAAACACATTATTTTAACTAAATAAATTTCATTTTTTTCTTTTAGAAGACAACATTCAACAACAACAACATGGCACGCGACAACCCCTGTATCAACAACTGTTATTCAAAAACAACCACCTCAATCCACCAACAACATTCAAAGCCCGGAAAGGTTAAAAGGTACAACTCACGACCTCTTCGAATTATTAGAAAAAGCTCAAAGTTCAAGACTCGACGACCAAAGATGTGTACTTCCGGCGTATTTCAAACAGGTCAGTTTAAATGATTAAAAAAATTGTAATAAAGTAAATTAACCACGTGGGTGCGCAGAACGTTTACGCCCGTCACGGCGCAGTGGGCGTCAACAGACACGTTGATTGTTGAAACTCTTGTTTGTCGTTGAGATTCACTCGCTAAAAGACTCTCTTTGTAATAGTACAAGACGTCGTCTTCTAAAGACACCCACAGCGCCCTCAAGTCTTCTCAATGTTTTCTTCTTTGCTTCCCAATGATTGACCGTTTCGTTACGAACGTGTCCGGTCTTGTTCTTATCTCGAATACCGCCCACTCGACGTTAATAACAGGGGTAATTAATCAACTCGAAGTAAATGAATTATTGAATAGACGGCTCGGTTTTTCTTGTTGATTGCGCGTTATGAACAAAAATGTATTGTTAATCAAAAAAGTCATGCTAATTTTTTGTTTAACTGATATAAAGAGAAAAGAGCAAAAAAAAAAGATTTGAATAGAACTCGTTTTGAATGAAATATTGCTCCGTTCGCTTTTACGATTTTAATTAGACGGGATAATTTCGTTTTGCCCCGCAGTCAAAGGCTAAAAATAGAGGCCTGCTTTTGCCGACGCTCCTCCGCACGTTATTAACTCAATTACAAACCTAGCCCAGCCTTTTTATTCATTCCATTTCTACCGCTTCCACCTCCTCTTGATTCTTCACGTCTTTTAAATTCTCCACGTCATTTAAACTCCCATCTCATAAATAAACTCATCTTTTAAAGTCTCATTGAAACTGACACGTAATTTTAATAACAATTAAAATCGCCCACAAATTATCAATTTGACCCAATATTATTTGTAGTAATACATTTAAACTTAGTGGCGCCATCTCTTAAAGCGCGCCTAAACTAAGGAAAGTAAAGTAAAATGGGTAGCCTACATTTTCCTATAAAGGAAGTTCCAAAATGTACCACTAGATGGCACCACTTGTATAAAAATTACATTTATTAATACAAAAATTTTTTTTAAATAAAAATTAGATATAATTTAATTATTATTTCTTATAATTATTAATTAAATTAATTGAAATTAATTTTTGTTTAAAACTAATTGATGATTCATCTTCCTTTCACTTGCTTTTCGTTATTGAACGGTCTGACTTTTTGTTTGTGATGCTATGTGACCGAGCAGTTACGGCTTTTGCGGTGAGTGAGTCATTCTCGTTTGAAAGAGGGGTGAGTTACATGTGTGTTGACTCAGTTCGCCGATCTTTCGAATTGAAAAGAGGAAGCGAATAAAAATCTGGATTCGCGTTGCGAAACGTAAATATACCATAAACTACGGAGTATATACCGTCGGCGACGACTTGATGATGCCAATTTCGAGGTTGTGTGCATCTCAACTTTGCGAGACGCCAACTTACTATATACTGTAAGCGAATTTAACATGTAAATTGGAGGCGGAATGTATAAGTATTCCCGGTGCATATTATATCCGGATCGGTTGCAATTTCGACTGAATTATGCTCCCCCAAATCATCGTCATCTATATTTATAGATAGATTCGTCTTTATCTTATTTGCAATTTGATGACATTCCAAATTCTATTCTCAACGGAGTAAAAAGCAAGATTTGAAATCATGATTTCACCCCCATAATTTCCCTTATGACTAAATTATGTTTTTACACTTCGTATTTGTTTCAAAAGTGAAAAATCCTTTAAAATGACACCAAACTCGATGGGGTTGTCTCAAAAAATAACCGAGATATAACCGGAAATATAACTAAAAACAATGGAATATCGTTAGTTACAAAAATAATCATATCTTCGTTGTTTTTGAAGATAAATATGGGGCGTTTGGGCTTGTTTTGATTGTTTTTTAGTGTAGATGACGAATTTGATAATAAATTGTAAAAAAATATTTATTTTAGTTAATCTAATCTCAAAATTAAATATGTTTAAATATCTTTTTTGTGGATTTTGTCTTAAAGAGAATGCGAAATGCTTCAAAATGACTCCAAATTCGATGGTGGTTGGGATATAATGGGGTTGGGATATAATCATACAAGTTTCCAGGAATAAAAACTCATGCTGCCAACAAGTTAGCAGATCCTAGTTGGTTAAATAGAAGTCTATTGATACCAGAGCTCATTCTGCCAACAAATTGGCTGACTTCAGAATGCAGAAAAGCGTTTGTTGATGCAATAGCTCATTCTGCCAGCAAGTTGGTAGACTTTATCGTACAAAATACAGGTGTTAGGGTGTGAAAGCTGATGCTGCGAACGAGTTCGATAACTTTATCATGCAAAGGTACTTAGGCCGGCCGACGTCTTCTAAGTTGACCGAGATTATTGCTTCCATAAATTGCAAGCATGTGCACTTGGTTTCGCGTTAGAATCCCGATTGAAACCATTAATAGCTTTATAGAAGAAATAATCTCGGCCGACTTCGAAGACGTCGGCCGCCCCAAGTTATATTTGTGATATAAGAAATAATCATACAGGTTTCAGGCTAAATAGAAGTCTATTGATACCAGAGCTCATTCTGCCAACAAATTGGCTGACTTCAGAATGCAGAAAAGCGTTTGTTGATGCAATAGCTCATTCTGCCAGCAAGTTGGTAGACTTTATCGTACAAAATACAGGTGTTAGGGTGTGAAAGCTGATGCTGCGAACGAGTTCGATAACTTTATCATGCAAAGGTACTTAGGCCGGCCGACGTCTTCTAAGTTGACCGAGATTATTGCTTCCATAAATTGCAAGCATGTGCACTTGGTTTCGCGTTAGGATCCCGATTGAAACCATTAATAGCTTTATAGAAGAAATAATCTCGGCCGACTTCGAAGACGTCGGCCGCCCCAAGTTATATTTGTGATATAAGAAATAATCATACAGGTTTCAGGGAGTAAAAGTTCATGCTTCTAACAAGTTGGCAGAACCTAGCTGACTAAATAGAAGTCTATTGATAACAGAGCTCATGCTGCCAACATGCTGGCAGTCTTTAGAATACAGAATAGGCATTTATTGACACAATAGGTCATGTTAATACCTAGTTGGCAGACTTTATCATGCAAAATATAGGTGTGACGGTGTAAAAACTCATGTTGACAGCAAGTTGGCAGATCCAAGCTGACTAAATAGATGTCTATTGATATCATAGCTCATGGTCCTAATAAGTTGGCAGACTTCAAAACGTAGAATAAGCCTTTGTTATGATATCTGATGATGATATTTGGCACACCTTAACATAGTCATGGGTATACCTCAATATCGATTCTAATAATTGTTAACATCGCCTTGGACATTCCTCAATATCGCCTCACACCTGTCAATATCAAACCTGACATCTCTCAATATCGTCCCGGATTTCTCGCACTATCATTCTTAACACTTCTCAAATTCGTTCCGAAGAAGCTCATCATCAATCTGTTTTAGAAATAGTGATTACAAGTTATAATTTAACGTAATATACACTTTAATTTCTCAATTCCTAATCATATTCGAGAAAAATTTGAAATGAAATTTTAACATTTTATGTTTGTTAACCTTAATAATCTTTCTTACATTTGGCATATTCAAGAGAATAAAAACGACGTGTTTTGTATCACGTACCCTTATTACGATACGTTTGGGCAAACTCGTCAGCTTATTCTTTTTCTTTTCTTCATTTATCCCTCCCAGCGGTATTTTTAGAAAACGAGACATCGTCTGGGGAAACCTTAAACGAATACGAGCATACACGGCCCTTTTTGGGGTGTTAAATATTTCGCGTTTCTGGTCTAATTCCATTACAACGATGACGGGATGTTCGTCGTCGACCGTTATCTAGGGCGCTTTATCACCTAGAAACTCGGTTTTCAACCCCATTTTGTATACGCCTCGCTATGTTTACGACGATGTGTTCGTCTACAATGTTATCAACCCTTTTTATGGAAGGATCTTTTTCTTTTTTTTTTTTTCGTTATGATTACTTCTGGGGATTTTAAGAAAAGAAAAGGTTTTTAAATTTTACCTGAGTACCAATTGAAATGAATGAGATTAACCGTAAAATCTTGAAGAATCAATTTTTATTACCTGGACTTTTCTCTTCTGGGAAGGTTAAATTGAATGTACCTTTGAAATATGGTTGTTTTAAGAGAAATCTACGTCGTTTTGGTGAAAAATGATGCAACGCCCGATGCTATTATAATCATCCATCAAAAGGAGTTTCATTTTTCAATATTCCTTCGATCCTATTTTTTTGTTCCACCCATCATAATCGAAAGCGTTCAATTCCTGCAAGATTTATCTCAGAAATACCTTTTTTACTCACTTAGTTTCCTGCCGCATCGCATTACTAACGTCCGCTTCCTTCTTTTCAACCAGGAAATCATTTTTCAAACAATCAAAAAAAAAACAAATACAAAAGAAAATCTTGTAATATTACAATTCCATACAAAATATATAGTATTTAGGTCACGTTTCCCTTTCGGTTCTTCTCTCTTTATACCAAGTCTTATCCTTTCGACAAAGGGACTCGCGTAATCAAATATCGTGACTGTGAGGGGACTCAAAGTCCCCCTTTATGCTCGTTTCGGACTACCTGTTCGCACGCGGATAACTTTGATACCTTTATATCTACCACAGTAAGAGGGAACCAAGAGGGAACTAAAAAGGAAGTGTGTGAGAATGAAATGGGAACTAAAAAAAAGGATGGAAAAGGAAAGGATAAAAGCGGAAAGGAAATGGATCCGCGGACCATGATTCCTGTTTCCTACGCTTTTGACCTGTGTTTATGTCTGTGGTTATCATGGTTTTTAAGTTCCCAGGAGAAGACAAAGTCGTGGAATTAAGTTGTACTTCGTCAAATAATTTTATTAAAAGAAAAAAGATTACAACGGTATTTTGTAATTTGTTTGTCCATCATCACTCGCGTAATAACTCGAGCCAATCCTTAGTTATTACCGCTCTAATTGAATAAAATTACCTCAACTTCTCATAATTGTGTTTTGAAACGCAAAGAAATTCTCGAAAAGATCACCATGTTAAAAACTTTTTAA